AACAGATATGGAAAAAAAGAAATGCAATACTAAAATACGTGACAGAGAAAATAAAAGATAAGATAATGACAAATGGCAAACAGAAGAAACATTTGATGCAAGCAGTGAGAAAATAGAAACTGAGTATAGAAAATGTTACAATGTAAAAATGAGCGGTTAGTAAAGGAACACTAGCATAGATGAGGAGAAATGTAAAGTAAAGCATAATCTGAAGCTAAAGAAATTATTTAGAAGGACACTAAAGAAATAGAAAACATATTTACATATGATAAAATGATTAGAGAAAAATAAACTGTTAAAACATAAAGAGGAGAAAATAGATGAGAGGAGTCTTCATTTGATGGAAAAAAATGGGAAAGAAGGAAAGACTTTTATGAGCTAAATTCCATATATTAATTAAGAGGACATAGGGATGGACTTTGGGGGACTGTGGTCTTTTACCTACTAGACATCTCTGAGTGCACTGGCAAATGGAAAAGGTGTTTGAAAAACACAATGGACAAACTGTTGGCTGTGGACATTTGTGAAAGCAGTGAAGCAGGCACTGCATGCCCAGGAATTACTGAGGACTGGAAAGGCTACTTATGTTCAGAGACACTAAAAAGAGGCAAACAAGCTAATGATGAACTGATCAAAGAGAAAAAGCGCTCCACCAGAACTTTACAACAGCTCAATGAAAGAAGCCAGCACCAAGAAAGAAGGGGGAAACACTGTGCCCTGATATGGACACCACAGAAAAGACTACACCAATCTATGAACCAGTTGTCTTCTCAGGGTGTGAGGAGGGGGAGTCTGGCAGTCCATCTCAAAGCAGTCGACCTATAGTCCAAATTGAGAACAATGTGACCACTCAGAGGGCAAAATAAGAGCAAAAGTGTAGCTACCCATTCTTGTATCAAATCAGACTCCTGTCAATTTGATAAAAAGAAAAGTATCATGTAAACTGTAAGAAAAGTCTTAGATGATAATGTACAATGAAACTTTAAATGTGTAAGGTTGAAATGATAAATTATGAAGAATGTTAGATTATTTTGGTTCATTTTCATAGGTTAACTCATAGAGATTATTGAACATAGGAGGATAAATTATAATGCATGGTGGTGATAAAAAAAGATAATAATAGACATTTTTTGATAACTGAAAAAAAATATATAATAATTTGGGTTAGAAGTTGATGGAGTTAAAATAGTTAGTTAAGTTAGTTTAGTTAAAATTAGGGAAAACTTATTTTGAGTAAACTAAACCAAGATTTGAGAGAAAAATTATGTCAGAGATTAAGACAGAAAAGTGATTTATACTTGAAGGGAATGGAAAAAAAAAAGTGAAATGAACTCACAATACTGAATAGGTCAAAAAGTAACAATTCTAAATTTAGTAAAAGAATATTTGAAAGAGAAAAGTGTTTAAAAACAGAAAATAGGTTGTTTTACATATGTGAAGAAATAATTAAAAGCAAAAAGGATTAAGGACTAAAGATGAATAACCAGTTTGATGTGAGAACAGGAAGGAATTAGGAGCTGAAAATGCTGAAAAGTGAAAAATGCTAATTAATATAAAATGCAAAATAAGAAATTATTTAGGTAAGTGTCAAATTTTAATAATGATTAACAGTTCAGGACATTAAGGGAAAACAAAATTAGTCAGCATAGGGAGGATTAATTAAAATTTAACCAGATGAAGGTCTGCTATATGCTGAAATAGGCATTATTGAAACTTTTAAGAAGATAGCAATAATAGAAACAATTAGATATGTTATGGCATTCCTAATTAAAGTCAATTTCAATTCAGTTGTGATTGTGTAGGTGACGAATAAAATGGATTCTATTTTAATTTAATTTGAATTTAATTTTTTATGATGGCATTAGTCAAAACAGGCAAAACTAGATGTTGTAAAGTTTATGGTTTATGAACAGTCAGTGATAGAGAATTTCTTAGCAGAGGTTCCTAACACGCGCTGCATTTACATTTGTAAGTTTGGATGCCAAATATGTTAAAGTAATTGATTTCTGTTCAGTTAATTATCAGAGGAGGGTAGACACTTGGTTACACTTAAAGTAAATAGGCTGTTATACATACATTAGAATGCATAAAAGGATTTAGAATATTTCGTGATGGATATTGTAACGTGTAGGGTTTAGTTATCTGCAGGTACATCGAGATCAAGCTAAGTAAAAGACAGAAATAAAACTTTTTAGGGATGAGGGGTTTAGTGTTAACAAAATTCTGTATCTAATCTAGATGCAATAATAACTATTAAGATGATAAATAAGAAATTGATTTTTCATTAAAGAAAATAGGGTAGCAGGTCTAACAATAGTATAGAGTCACAACCTTAATTAGATTATAGTACAAATAAACAACGTACTAGTCTTTATGAACATATGTAGCATTAAAGGTGAACGAAAAAGACAAATAAAATTTATGTAATACATACAAAGTACAGATTGTTGAGGCAACAGCATTTCTAGATATTGTCATTGGCGATGTACATGGTTTGAATCAAGGGTGAAGTGATAAGGAAAATTAAGCAGCAAGCAAAATGATTTGAAAAAATTATCCATTTTAAATGCAGTGATTACTGAATTGTTGTCCACATGTGACATCTGTGCAAAGTAGAATGTGAGTAAAAGATCAGCAATAGGCCTAAGGGGATATTCAATAAATTGATTGTGAATGTTAGGAAATTATATAATTAGCTTAGGGCAAGAGATACAAGTTTTTGGGCATGACAGTTGTGGTAGATGAGTGAAGACAATTCCATTAGCAGAGCAGGGAAGAAGAAACAGTTATTACATTTAAGACAAGAGAAGTCTCAGACTTGGAATACCTTCAGAAATAAGTTTAATGTGTCTGCATTTATAAATAAATTAGAGTAAATAAAGTCAATTAAAGTAAATAAAGGTAATTAAGTAGATAATTAAGTAGATATATAATTCAGTGAATAGATAAGTAAATGTATTGATAAAGAATTGGAAATCAAGAAAATTGAGCAATTACACATAATTGTAAGGAATGATTAAAAGAGCTGAAGATGATCCCTCAAGGCCTAGTTTAACAAACTATGTTAAAATGGTAAACTCAACTGGATTGATTTGTTACTTTTTGCATTAATGATTGCATGAAAACTAACAGAAACAAGCAACTAACATTGCATGAAATACTATTGGGTCGACCCTTGCATGTAATCTCCTATTTAACCTTGTGGAATGTTTGGAGAACATTTATAATGCATTGGAAAGAAGTTTGGTCTTTTATGAGGAAACTAACTGCCATGTGCAAAGCAATATCTGTACAGGAAACCAGAAAGGACCAGAAGCAGGAGATTAATCCGGTGATCGAGTATATCTGAGGTGTTCTGGAGAAAGTGGAGTGAAATCAGGAGAAATGGACCTTATGCTAAAGTTGCCAAAGGGGGATGCCATCAACTGGATACCATCTGGACCACAGCACAAGACAGCCAAAGAAAAAGTTCCAGCAAGAGAAAGCTAATGGGAAACAGAGGAGGCAGAAAATCTTGAAGCTCAACGAAGTGCAAAGTGTGGCAGAAGCAGTTCATCTGAACAGTTAAAAGAGTAATTCTTATTATACACCTGAGTGAGAAATATACAGAAGGTGACACAAGTTCAAGTGATGATAATCACCACAACTTCAGGTTACAGAATCTCAACATAAAGACTCTATCAATACTTCTTAAGGCTAGAACGAAACAAAGAATGCTCGCAAGTATGTGCCAGATTTAGGGTCAAAAAGATGAACTAGTGCTAAAATTTTTTATAGTTTAGATAAAGAAGAGGATGATGAAGAGGATCCATGCCTTGGGTGCTAAGTGCTAGTAACCTCTACCCCAAAACGGCGGCTCTCTACGATACGCAAAGTATCTGGGCTGAAGATCAACATACTCTACGGATTATGTTTTGTGGGTGTTAGATTAGAATATTGTGTTGTGACCCTAGATTGGGAGATTGTGCATGTTTATTTTTTGTTTTAGTTTTATTCTTTACTGAATGTTAAATAATCATGACCCCCAGAAGCAAATAGATAACTAATTGTATGCTTAAAATACTACTTTTCATGATATCAACAAAATAGAATCAAGTCTTTTACTGTGTCCTCGTCAGAACAGGACACAGAGGTTTGGCGTGATTCTATTCCAAAGTGCAATTACATGATTTGGTCATTTGTAATAATACTGTGACATATATTTGTCATTAGGTAATATGGCTGAGGGCTAGATCATGGAGTTGCACTATGGGCCAAAAGCAAGAAGATTAAGACTTGAAGTCTTAAGAGGAGGGATTATATGAAGTGGATTTTATACTCTTTAAAGTGTTAAGTTAATCTATATATTCAAATTATATGTGTATAATCTGCTTGTAGATTTGCCTACCATTAAAACAAGTAAAGTGTTATGTAAGGGGAAAGGGCCTGAGTAAGCAACTAAGATGTCTCAGAAAATGGATAAGAATAGAGCAACACATGTGTAAACAGAGACGTATAGATGGATAAGATATATAGTTACCAGGTTTGGGTCAAGGGTTAACCTAGGTGGAATTTGTGTGACATATGTAGAAATAAGGGAAAAACTGATGACAGAGGTGGAATTTGGGGTCAAGGGTTAAAGTAGGAGGAATCTTGTGTAACATATGGAGAACAAAGAAAAAAACTGGTGTAGAAGACTATTTAAACAGGCTAGAATTTGAGTGAGTCAGAATTTTTCAGACAGAGATGCTACTGGGGGTCTCCTGAAAGTTCTCCTTTGTTGTCGACAATAAAGTATATTCTTCTGATATTCATAACCTCCAGACTGAGTTTGATTTATTAAGAGAAAAATTAAGAAAACCACCACATTATCTCTTAAGAGCAATCATTATCTGTTCATTAGCTATTACAGCAGGAGAGTTCCTGAGATCTACCTGAGCTCAAACTCCCCTCTCACCTTGCAAACATGAGGAAGCCCCGGGCTCGAGGATCTTATGAGCTCAGGGATCTCTCCCAGGACAGCATGCTAAACACGCTTTATAATCAATCATCAGCTTACAGTGAACTATTATAAAAACTATTATTGAAATCTTATTGCTAAACTCAGTGGTTCAATTTGTCTGGTGATGCTATGACAATATTTACAATTGATTTATTGTGTTTAATTACAGGGGATATGGTTGCAGGAATCGAAAGATTCATTACAGAAATTATTGAAGTGCAGTTGTGTAACAGCTCTGATCTGGATAGAGTGAAATGCAACATTACACGGATTTCATACAACATCTCAGATCAGGTTGTCGAGTTCCTGAAAGGGTCGTTGGTCACCCGCTTCATGCCGTCCTTCTACATCATCATCATCCTCATCAGTTTGCCTCTGAACGCTTTGGCTTTGGTGACGTTCACCTGCAGGATCAGAGAAAAGAAACCAGCTGTGATCTACATGTCTCACCTGGCGTGTGTGGATCTGCTCTTCGCCCTGCTGCTGCCTCTGAAGATCCACTACCAGCTGAACGCTTCTGATTGGCTGTTTGGTGAGGCGGCGTGTCGTGTGCTCACTGCAGCTTATTACTGCTACATGTACTGCTCCATACTGCTGATGATGTGCATGAGTGTGGACAGACTGCTGGCCGTGGTGTTTCCAGTCGCCTCTTTAACCTGGAGAAATGCGAGGAAAGCCTCGTTCATATGCGCATTAGTCTGGCTGCTGGCACTCGCTGGTACTGTGCCACTACTCTGCATAACTCAAACATTCAGTATTAAGGATGTGGGCGTCACTTGCCATAATGTGCTGTATAACACACAGCTGTATGCATATCTGTTCTCCACCCTCTCCTGCCTGTATTTCTTCATGCCGCTGGTTGTTGTTTTAGTGAGCTACTCCAGCATCATATATGCTCTCAATGCAAAGTCTGATCATTTAGCAGCTTCATCTTCATCCAACAAAAGGAGAGCTGTGATCATGACTGTTTCTGTGCTGATTGAGTTTGTGGTGTGTTTTGCTCCAACTAATGTCATCTTGTTGCATCACTGTGTTCGGTTAGCTACTGAAGGCAGCGCTGAGGAGGGGAAATACTACATGTTGGCTGTGTGTTTGGGCAGCGCAAGTGTTTTTCTTGATCCTCTGCTGTACTATTATGGCTCGTCTCAGTTTAGACAGAAAATTGGTTCTCTGTTTTGCTGGGGGAAGACAAAAAGTGGAAGCACAAATAGTCAAACAAAATCCTCTCACGTTAGCTGTGAGTACGCTCAGGCTAAAGTTGCGATGTGAAAATATAGTATATTCAGTTCCCCCTTACTGATTTCTAATTAGTTTGCATGCTTGTCACACTGTAATATTTCTGATTATTAAACAATTTTAAATATTAATCAAAGACAACACAAGTAAACACATCATGCAGTTTTGAAATAAAGGTTTTTATTCATTCATTCATTTTCGTCTGCCTTTCACAAGCGCAGCAGTCTTAGGAGAGAACCCCAGACTTTCCTCTCCCCAGACACTTCCACCAGCTCCTCTGGTGGGGTATCCTGAGGTGTTGCCAGGCCAGTCGAGAGACATAGTCCCTCCAGCATGTCCTGGATCTTCCCCATGGCCTCCTTCTGATGGGACATGCCTGGAACACCTGCCTAGGTAGGCGTCCAGGAGGCATTTGAAGCCCGAGCCACCTCAGCTGACTTCTCTCAATGTGGAGGAGCAGCGGCTCTACTCCAAGCTTCTCTTGGGTGACAGAGCTCCTCAGCATTCTATAAGGTTAGGCCCTGCCACTCTGCGAAGGAAACTCATGGAGGCCACTTGTAAATTACTACACTTAAATTACTACAGCAGCAAGATTTTTTTACAGTGTAGAAGTTAATAAGTGCAATAAAACTCATATTGCATCAAATTTAGTAAGGAAAGGGGCCTAAGGGTTCAGAATAAGCCTTGTAAAACTTTGCAGTAATACCATCATTATCCAGAGACTTTTTAACTTTTAAATCGTTAACAGAATATAATATATATTTAAAGAGAATTAGGTACATCATAACAAATTTTATCATATTTTTCTAGAAATCAGGTCAGTTATCAAATCTAAAAAAAAGAGGACATTTTAGTTATGAAAGGATGAAAGGACTTGATGTACCAAAAACTAAATTTTAATGAGCAATTACTGTTAGCATAAAGTTTCCTGGTGGCATTAAAAAAGAATCTCCAAAACCAAGATTTTTTTTAATACAGTGAAAAATAAAAGTCAAATGCTTTATAAAAGTCTAAAACATGTCTAAAAAGTTCTTCTAAAGTCAAACTAAAATATTCATCAGAAAAATCCATGATGTCTAAAATAATCAAATATTATTAGAGATTATTGATTTTTTATTAATGATTTTTATGGAGCTGGACTGTGACTCATAAGTTAAATAAAAAAACTTGACCTAAAATCATGTAATAAATAGTTAAACTAGCATCAATTGTTAATATATAACATAATAAAAATATAATATATTTTTAAGAGAATTTTATTCGTTGCAACACATTTTATCATCTTTTTCTATTGAAGTCAGGTCAGTTATCTAATCTAAATTAGGACATTTTAGTCTGATCTGACATTACCACCTCTAAAATTAATAACAATAATTAGAAATAGTCTTAGAGTCAGCCACAATGTTGCCATCAACAACCAGTTTACCCATGCTATTATAACTGGCATTAGACTTCTCTGTAACCTAAGAAAAAGTTTGCTTAGTACTATTGTTCCCCCTGCTCCATCCACATCCTCACAGATCATAAATGCACCTTCAGTTTTTCAATTTGTAACTATCATCATGTTGTTCTTGTAATGTATTGGGTAAAGCGGTTTCATCACTTCCCATGGTTTCTGAGGGACTCTGGTTTACAACAATTATTTGCCACTTCTTGTTTGTCTCTTTCGATGACGTCACAGACCACCCGACGTCTCGCAATTCCACTTTAAAAACTGGCTGCTTGTCTCAGCATGTAGGATTTGGAATAAGAGGTCCTCAAAAGCAGCCGATGACTAAGATGGCGATCAAAACAATATTGTTTTTAGTGCTAATTGCACATGTATGCAGCGTCTCCTCAAGAGGTAAGCACTGTTCAACATTTTATTATGCATGTATAAAGTAGTAAGCATTTTACAGTGTCCTGTATATTTTAGTTAACCCCAACTAAACACAACTGAACCAGCTATAGTAAGTTCTATCTGTCTATACTTGAAACAGGAGGTATAGGTATACTTCAGACAGGAGTGTTGAAGGAAGTTTGAGCTAAACTATGTAGGACAGCGGTGTTGTACAGAGAAACGCACCGCTGCTGTAAAATGCACCCCCTCTAAAATGTGCATCTATTAACTGAAATTAATTTGAAAAAATATTTAATAACAGAGTTATGACACTAATGAAAGTGACTGAGGTGAGTTTCATGGATGGAATCCGTCCCTCACAGAATTAATAAATAAATAAATAGACTGACTTTAAAAACAATACGAATGAGATTAAGTGAATTGAATTGTTTAATGTGTGGTTTAGTTTAAAACAGCAACAATAATTGTCTGTGTTCCATGTAGCCTTAATGTGTTTAAAACCATCAAATTTTAGGCTACACTACAGTCAATATTATTATTTTACATTTATTTGTAAACCTAGTGCATTTTAAAATGTGTTTCACCTCTTGTCCTTGCCTTATTCATCAAAATAATAACAATTTTACGTTTTTTATTATTTATTTTTGTTATATAATTTTATTAAGCAGAAACTTGACTGACAGTAAGTCGAGACATGCAAACTGAATAGTATAATCTGCTGGTTTTGAACATATTGTAATAATGAAATGCAGTCATGTACACAACTAAAACATTATCCTTAACCCAACCCAAATCGCATTTCTCGGCACAACACCGGCCCTGGAGGACTGAGTTTGGACACCCCTGCTTTATAGCAACAGCAGCAGATGCTTCTCTCTCAGCTAATTTATTGGCCATTTCACTTTCTTTCTCTTCCTTAAGTACTCAGAATTTTTTCCTGTCTTTCCTTTCTCTCTTCAAAGCACCTCTTCCCTTTTTATAAATAGGATAGTCAATATAAATTTAAAATAAGATAAAACAATTTATTCATAAATAAGAGAAGTCAACTTTTAAATGATGTTTTGTCACATGGAGTTCATTTCTTAAAGTTTCTGGAGACAAAGAAAAGTTTGAAGCGATCTTCAATTGTCCCTTCTTTTGCTTAGATTGATAAATGCTTGTATGAAGGAATGGTTCCTTAAGGTAGAGTTTGCGCTTTAATAAATGCACTTAGATGCTAATTTGTGGTGAAAGTAGGACTCGGAGCCTGAGGCGACAAATAACCTATTTGTAAACCGGATTATCAAGATTTTGACTCGGTCTAAGACCCTGCAAGTATATATAGAGAGCGTATTATTGCCTGATAAGTGAAAATCAAAACATTGCGGAGTCCTAACTGTGTGACATATTATGCTTAGAGCAACATATTGCAATCATTTATTGGAGGAAAAATCTAGGGAAAACATTTAAATTAATTATTGGAAATAAAAGGAAAAATAACAAATTTACAAGTGTACCCAAGACTCCTCAACTGCCTAAAGATTTTAAATACAGAGTTTAAAAGTTTCAAAAGCTTTTCTATTGTTTCTATTTTGTACAACAGAGATATCATTCTCAGTTACTTTTTATTTTAATAAATGTGTTTGTTTACAAATGTGATATTGTTCTATGATGATGAAATGAATTATATAAGCTTCATTTTTCATGCGGACAACAAATTTTAAATATCTGAAAAATAGTTTCATGATGCAAATCAAAATTGCCAAATATCTTTTCTTTTGCAGACCCAGACACTTCGTTCCACAGATTTTTCACATAGAATTTCCTGAAAATGAGCAAGGTTTCCAACGTTTCCAAACAAAAATGGCAATTAACATCAAGATCACTTTGAAACTTTGAGATAATATTGACCAACAAAAAATGGATGGATTATTAAAAAATCAAACCCAAAATCATAGTATTTTTTAGCAAAAGTCTGTATTCTATACCCTGTACAGTAAGTGTAGCCACTGGCACTTCGAAACATTTAGTTGAATAAAAGTAACATCTGGTTGAATAAAAATAACTCAATTACAATTTGTCAGGGGTGTAAATAATTTTGGCTTGAGACACACATACACACAGACACACACACACACACACACACACACACACACTACCTGTTAAAGGTTTAGCGTCGGTTTTTTTTTAAAGAAAATTATTCAGTTCATCAAAGCGGCATTTATTAAATCTAAAAAATGTTAAATATAGAAATATGTCAAACATTTTTTAAAATGTTAAATAACTGCTTTCTTACTGTATGTGGTTTCAAATAAATGATTACTCTAGATATTATTAGAATGTATACCTTTACCATTAGTAGTATTAATAGTAATACAATTAATAATAATAATAATTTAAATAAAGTAATTTCTGAAGAATCATGTTCATGAGTATTTGCTAGAGCACACACACTTTTCAGCAGTGACAAATACTGTATGTTTCTGATTGACTGATGTATTCACACACTCAACAGAAACGTGTGTGCGATTGGATATTATTTACCAAATGAGCCAATGAGAAACGTTAGGAAGGTTCGGGCTGATCATGTAGTGCTACAGTGTTTCATCATTGGACTAATGCTAGTGTTTATTTGGTAACTTTAGGGTTTAAAACAAATAGCTCTTCAAATAAATCGATTGAGAAACATCAGGAAATGTGGCGATGTAAAAAAATGTATATGACCAAATTAAAAGTGTTTTGCTTTGTCTTTGACAAAGGAAGATGTCTTCAGTGGATTTGTATGCATGGGAAAAAACAAAGTGTACTTTGGGCTTTACTGTCTTGGGGTTTTGTTAATGAGTGAGGAAAGGATGGAACGTAAAATTTACAGGTGGATTGGTGCAGCGGCAGCAGTAATGTGGTCCATTGTGGTAAAGAAGTAGCTGAAAGGCAAAGCTCTTAATTTACCGGTTAATCTACGCTCCTACTCTCACCTATGGTCATCTCACCGAAAGGACAAGATCTCAGATACACACGGCCAAAATGAGTTTCCTTTACAGAGTGGCAGGGCGCACCATTATAGATAGGGTGAGGAGCTCTGTCACCCGGGAGGAGCTCGGAGTAAAGCTGCTGCTCCTCCACATTGAGAGAAGTCAGCTGAGGTGGATCTGGCATCTGTTTTGGATGCCTCCTGGATGGCTACCTAGAGAGGTGTTCCAGGCATGTCTCACTAGGAAGAGACTTCGGTGAAGACCCAGGACACGCTGGAGGGACTATGTCTCTCGGCTGGCCTGGAAATGCCTCAGGATCCCCCCAGAGGAGCTTGAGGAAGTGTTTGGGAAGAGGATAAGTCTTGGGTTCTCTGCTAAGACTGCTGCCCCCGCGACGCGGCCCCAGAGAAGCGGACGAAAATGAGATGAGATAAGACTTTGGGCTTAACCTGGATAATTACCATTACAAACAGCGTGTGTTTGGCACAAGTTACATCTCAAGGGACAATAGAATTTATATAGGTAGCTTGCGTTTTTCTTCACTGCTTATTCTGTGTGGAGTTTACATGTTCTCCCTGTGTTGGTGTGGGTTTCCTTCGGGTGCTCCGGTTTCCCCCACAGTCCACAGACATGCGCTATAGGTGATTGGGTTAGCTAAATTGTCCTTAGTGTATGTGCGTAAATGAGAATGTATGGGTGTTTCCTAGGGATGGGTTGCAGCTGGAAGGGCATCTGCTGCGTAAAACATATGCTTGATAAGTTGGCGGTTCATTCCGCTGTGGAGACCCCAGATTATTAAAGGGACTAAGCCGAAAATGAATGAATGAATTAAGGCTAAATTTGAGTATTCAGTAGACATAAAATAGATATCTAAGAATAGCCCAAAACTAGACTACACTGTTAGACCTTACCAGGCTTTTTTACAGTAGAACACTGGCAACACTGTTGCCAGCTACTCACTGTAAAAGTTTGGTTACAGTAAGTAACTGGCAACAGTGTTGCCAGTTAATTACTGAAACTGAACCATTACAGTGAGTGGCTGGCAACAGTGTTGCCAGTTGTTTACTGTAACCGAACCATTGCAGTGAGTAGCTGGCAACAGTGTTGCCAGTTAATTACTGTAATAGAGCAGTAGTGGTAACTAACTGGAAACTGTGTACAGTTAATTACTGTACTGTAGTGTTACAACTCACAGCATTATACTGCATACACAATAGTACAGATGTTACTACTTCAATGTGTTCCTTATGCCGCCATTCATACCGCGGCGACGGCGGTACTTGATGCGCCAGCAGCGTTTGACCGCTGGGTGGCAGTTTAACCACAGATATTCAGCTTTGCCTTTTCACAACACTAAACAGACTTTTCTGTGCGTACCTTATGTGATCAGATGTGTTCAATTAAAATATAATTTTGATTTAGTTTTCTTAGTAATAAACATGATCTTACCAGGGCTTAAAGTATTCCGGCACCATGCCGGATCTCCGGCGTGCGGCCGTGAGAGAAAAAAAAAATAGAGCTTGCACATCCGCTTTAGTTGGGGATGCTCAAAATAACTGATTAAGCAATAACCGAAAGGGTGCGTTTGTAACCGATGAATGGTATCAGTTAAACAATTAAAATATGCTTTATACATTTTTAAAGTTTGGCTGCATACGGGGCATCTGTTTAATGGTTTACTGACTGCCGCCAGTGTTTTACGCTCTGCTTATGCTTGCTCAGCGCGCTTTAAGTTTTGCCGTTGCGCGCTGTGTGCTCGAGTGGAAAAAGCGTGTTACCTCTGTTTCATTGTTCAGTCAAATGAAAGCACTGCAGGGTTTCTGTTGAGGAGACAGCGGGGTTAGGGTATCAATTTGAGTACGGTAAACTTTTAAAGATTGAGGAGAGACTTGTGGTCGCCGTTTCAGGTTATCCAGAGCTGTATTTATAGATCTTGAATATTACAATATTATTAAAATTACAATTATAACATCGACAGCAACTCGACTCGCGCACACCAGCTGATTCAGTCGTTTTCTAGTGACATACAAAAGAGGCTTCTTTTTTTTCTTG